TACCTGACCGCCCCTAAAATTTTCTCAACGGATTTAGACGATTCACAAAAATGATCAATTTAAGAAATAAAACGGCGGATTTCCGCGGATCCGCGGAAAATTGCCATGTATGTTAAATGGGTTAACTTCGAATTTGATGGTTGCATCAGAATTCCCCCCAAAAGTTGGGACCCTGCCATGTTTACCAATGTGTTAAGTCACTTTTTCTTTTAACAACATTCAATAAAAGTTTGGGAACTGACACGCATTGTTTCAAGTATTGTAGGTGGAATTCTTTCCCATTGTTGCATGAAGTACAGCTTCAGCTGTTTAACAGTGTGGGGTCCTATTTTGTGCTTCATAACGAGCTACACATTGTCAATAGGAGAGAGGTCTAGACTACAGGAAGGCCAATCTAGTTCCCGCACTCTTTTACTACGAAGCCACACTGTTGTAGCAAGTGCAGGATGTGATTTGGCATCATCTTGCTGCAATAACCAGGGGCGCCCATGAAAAAAAAAAAAAGAAATTGCGCTCAAAGGGTGACAGCAGCGGGCAATTGCACACACGAGCAGCTTAAAGGGAACATGGGTTAGTATGCTTTCAACTTGCTGACATTCAAGAGGTTCTCTTTTTTTGAAAACAGCTGGCATTGAAAGAGTGAATCAGCGGATCTTTAGAAAATACAGAGGAATGGCGATCTGCCCTTTCACTCAGTTTACACACTGTTCAGACCTAACTAGAGCCTCTGTCTTACCCTGGTGTCTTCACTGATGTATCCACAAGTCACTTTCTCTCCCTTCACCCACAGTTCACTTGCCTGGGATCTAATACACCAAAAAAACATATTAAGACTTCCCTGAAAAATAGGAAATAGTCAGTAAAATCATGTGGAAAAATAAACCTCTAAAATGTTTTTTTTTTGTTTTTTTTTTTTTATTGTTTTTTTTTTTTTGCAAGACCTGATGTGTATGCACATTCAATGAGTTATTACATGTTGAGACCCTCATGTGTGGTCTCTTCTCATCTCAAGGTTTTCTTTTTCACCCAAATGGGATTTTGAGTTTTTCCTTGCCCAGTTGAGAGTTTGATTCATGGGATGTAGTCAATCATCATTAATTGCGGGCCGGTGAAGCCCTTTGAAACTCATTTTTGAGTTAGGGCTATGGAATTAAAATAACTTGACTAAACTTTACTCTTGCATTCTATGCAGGTTTTAAAACTACTGTTCTGTTTTGGTAGGTAACAGACACAAACCAATGGGAAATACACTATAGACCAGTGGTGCCCAACCTTAGACCGAAGATCTTTGCAATCGACCAACTTCCCGCGATCGACCTGTTACCGCACACGCACGCACTAACACACATGCCATGATGAGCAACAATCATAATGGCCCCTAAGATGAACGAAACTGAAAAATAAAGTTGACACATGAGTTTGTGGGTTTGTGAAAAGGGAATCACTGCCTACCTTCGTCGAGACCTGACGCGGATGCATGGGACGTACTTTTGCAGCATATTAACGTATCATGTGTACCGTTCCAGATTGCCATTCTTTGCCAGTGCCCTCGGTGAATTGTAATCGAAATAAACTTTGAATGATAATAATAAGAATAAGAATAATAATGATAATAATAATAAATGAAAACTTGCCAAGCCTGATGGATGTGCGGAGTTTCGTTAGTTTTCGTGCATGTTTAGAGCCTCAAAATCAGCGTAGTTTTATCGGCTTAGTTGTTGAACGAATCCAAGAAAAGCCTCAACACTTTGATCATGCCTGAAACCGAATACTGTGACCTTTTGGCAAAAGGTGTCGGAATAATGGTGCTGCGAAGTCTGATGATTCACTGTGACAGTAAAAGATGACATAACGTGACCCAGATAATCATCTCAAAAATGAACCCAGACCAGAAGACATTTAAAAATCAATCAATCAATCAATCAATCCATAAATAAATAAATGTATTTTTCATTGAAGTGGTCGTGCCACCTACTGGCTAAAAGAAATGTTTTTTTTCTTTGATGTTTTTCCTCTACATGGTTGACCAAGTCTACCTCTTTTTTGCTCAGATTTTGTATAGGCCCTCATAATGTTAAAACACGAAAATAGTCAGTTTTCACAAAACTGGGGGTGCGGCAACGTGCAGTTCGCCAATAAAATAACACTTGATTTTGAGGGTCTAAAAAATGGAAAAAACCTCATGAAACTTTGCACACACATCAGACCTGAAAAAAAATAACCAAGGTATAAATATTTTTTTAAATATTGTGGGATTTAAAAAAATTATTCACTGGTGCCCCCGAGAAACTTTTAAAAAAGCACCGGAAAGACCTGATGCAACTACCGCAGCAGAAATGTATTCTTCTCCCGCTAGTCAGTGCGATCGGCATTCTGATTCTCCCTGGCAAATAGTGCAAACAGTGTGCCTGTTTTTTTTCTTGTTGTTTTTTTGCATCCAAGCATAAAAGTTTCTTTCATGTCAAAATAACATTTATGATTTCTTTTTAAGCATTCCGGATATGGCAAGGAAGATGAGACATTTATTTTAAAAGCGACCTCGCAAAGAGGAAGGCCGAGTCTAGGTGAAACAGAGTAGAGAAACAAACGCAATAAACAGTTAAAATGTAATAACTTATAGTGGTGACAACGTGGAAATTTGTTCTGAAATACTGGTAGCGAGGGTCCGAATGCAGGACAGGATGAGTCGCTGAGGCGAGGCTACATAAAAACGTTTCCACATAGGAGCACAACAACACAAAGTCAACGTAAACGTGATTGAAACATTATTTTTTTATTCCTTTTCCGTTTCGTCTTAAAAACACACGAGCCAATGGCTTTGACAGTGGTGGCTAAATTAAATTGCCTACAATCAGGCAAACTGAGGAAGCCATTCAGTTATTTATGCCAAAAGCACTGCGCCCAGACACAGCAGGCAATTGCTGTTTCCCTTGTGACACAGCCACCAACCAACTACAGGCTGGACACATTAAAAAGACATGAGGTGGTGGCTATTCACAAAGCAGCAGAAGAAAAGGAGAAGTACATTAAAGATGGTAGTACCTAAGAACAGCCAACCAACAAAGTTACAAAACTAAAATAAAATAGTTTAGATAGATAGTTTGATTTTCTATTTATTTATATTTACATACGGAGGACACTGCAGCATACTATTGCAGCGCAAGTGGACATGGACCACAGAGAGCTTGAGGCTGCTTCAAAATAATCTGTCTCTCTCTCAAGCAAAAGTGGCCCCAGCACACAAGCTATGAGTCCATCATTCTGCTATGCAAGTTTTAATAAGCGAATGCTTTAACATGATAATAGTCATATTCTTAATGGAACTTAAATTTTGAATTTGAATTTTATTTGGTCTCCGTAGGAGAAACTTGTCTCGGAGGACAGGCCCTCTGGGCTGCTACAGTACATACATTGAGCAAAAACGTACACATACACTACTATGTTTCCTGTTCAAGAAAGTCCGTTAAATTTACAGAATACATGCATGTCATGACGAATGGTTAGGATGGTACCACCTGTCTCAATTTGAGCCAGGAAAAACACTGACTAGTCTACAAATAAAGTAGATGTTAACGGATTTTAAAACAACTCATGAAATACAGTTCAAGACTTCCTCCTGTCAGTTAGATCCCCTCCCCACTGTTCTGGTCAAATCTTGCTTGCCCGCTCTGCTTCCATTCATTTCAGCCATTATTCATTCTTCTCTGTCCTCTGGAATTGTTCCCAACTCTTTCAAAATCGCAGCTGTCACCCCAATTCTGAAAAAACCCGGTTCGGATCCCAATGACTTTAATAACCTACGCCCCATCTCTCACCTTCCTTTCATTTCAAAAATTCTTGAAAAAATTGTTGCCTCTGAGCTCCATTCCCACCTCACCTGTAATAGTCTCTTTGAACAATTCCAGTCCGGCTTCCGTCCCCGTCACAGTACAGAAACAGCTCTCATAAAAATCACAAATGATCTCTTCATGGCAGCAGACTCTGGCTTAATCTCTATCCTCATCCTCCTCGACCTGAGTGCAGCTTTCGACACCATTTCACACTCCATCCTCATGAATAGACTCTCCACCTTAGGCATCACCCACACCCCCCTAAGTTGGTTCCACTCATATCTCACTGGCCGCTCTCAGTTCATCCAACTCAATTCCTTCACTTCACAATCCCTTCCCGTCACTTCTGGTGTCCCCCAGGGTTCTGTCCTGGGCCCCCTCCTTTTCATCATTTACCTTCTTCCGCTCGGCAATATTTTTCGAAAATTTGGTATTCATTTTCATTGCTTCGCGGATGACACCCAGCTCTACCTCTCCAGCAAAACCGACGCCTCCCTCCCACCCTCATCCCTCTCTCACTGTCTTTTCTTTCCACTCCCACATCAATGACATTACCCGGTCTGCATATTTCCACCTCCGTAACATCAACCGTCTCCGTCCCTCTCTCACCCCTCACACGACTGCTATTCTTGTTCACAGCCTCGTCACCTCCCGCATCGATTACTGCAATTCACTTCTCTTCGGCGTCCATCTCAAATTTCTCCATAAACTTCAACTTGTTCAGAATTCAGCAGCCCGGATCATTACGAGAACCCCCTCCTTCCATCACATCACCCCCATCCTCCGACAGCTCCACTGGCTCCCCGTTAAACAAAGAATCACCTTCAAAATATTCCTTTACACATTCAAAGCCATCCATAACCTTGCTCCCCCCTATCTATCAGATCTTCTTCAGATCTCTATCCCTTCCCGCTCACTCTGGTCTTCATCCTCCCTCCATCTCTCTGTACCCCTCTGCCCGTCTCACCACAATGGGGTGCAGAGCCTTCAGCCGCTCTGCCCCCAAACTCTGGAACTCACTTCCATTCAACATTCGCAAGATTGATTATCTTCCCACATTCAAAACCCAGCTCAAAACTCACCTTTTCAGACTGGCTTATTCAACTTTCAATTTTATCTGTGGTTTTATTTATTCTTTATTTGTCTTATTGTTTGCTCGTCTCTAAAGTGTCCTTGGGTGTTGTGAAAGGCGCTTCAAATAAAATGTATTATTATTATTATTATAGTATTAACATACCTGATTCCAGCATATTCCACTTTTTGTGACACATAGGCACAAGTCCTTACCTACAATATACAAAACAAAATGAACCAATGAACAAAAACACGTTAAATTCAGATGTATATTTTTGAAAAACCTACCAAATTCTTTTTTAGTCTCCACATGTCACCCCTCCCAATGTATTGGTCTTTAAATGTCACTTCCATCAGGTCCAGAGTGACGTCCTTTGACGGAGAAAAATATGACAATCAGGTTTCCAAAGTACTCATCTCTCATGAAGATTTTCATTTTTTCACATTTTACTCACATGAAACGTATTGGTTTTTAACGTGATAGGCTGATAGAAAGCGGCTTCTTTATGTGAAATAGGAAAATATTGCAGAGATGAAAGTGGACTTTTCTGAAAATTCCGGAAAAAAGAAATATATATCTATATATATATATATATATATATGGCCATGAGAATGCGAGGCGAGGGTATTACTGTTGTGGCGACTCCACTCAAGCTAAGCGAGCCTCAGCAGTAGATCGTCCGCTGCTCTCTGCTGTGCGGGTTTCAGCGCGAACATGTACGCAAGCGCGTCTTTTGGTTTCAACCAATCAGCGCCGACGCAAATAACGTCACACAAGACAACAGCTAAGCTAAGTTAGCCGAGACGACACTCGAAGTCGGACGGACACGATTTTCTGACGATCTGTGTTTTCCCCTTTTTGGCCAAATACATTTTTTACGACAACTGTCTTGTCCACGGCGTCTTTTATTCGTTCCACTGGGGTTTAGCAGGTGTGTTTATAAAGAGACGAAAATTGTTTGAGGACTATCCCCCACGTTCTAGTTGAGATGGTATAACCCAAGAGGCAAAATGAGGCTTGCTACTGTTGTTGCGAGTTGCCATTCGTTCTACTAAACCATTAGTCAAACGCCGTCATGTCTTCTGTCGTTATTACACAAATAAAAATATCTTTACTGTTACTAGTGTTAGTGCCTCAATATGGCTACGCTCGTGAAAGCAATACAACGAACTCAAATGCGTCTTCGTTCAATGTTGTCAACTAGTATCCGGATTAATTTTATGCAAATTTTCCTCAATTCTCCGGAGAAATTTTCATAAAATTTTGAAAAACCCGGAATTCCGGGAAAATCCGGAGGACTTTCATCTGATATTGTTTCCTATTTTTCTTTACCAATTTGAAAAATAGCCGTGCAAAAGTATTCATCCGTAGATGCTGTAGCTAGATGGAAGGACAGACAGATGGACAGACAAGCGGACATACACACATACAGGCAGATACATTATTCAGCCCGTGAAAGAAAAAAATTGTGAAATGGAATGATTCAGAACTCAGGGGTCAGCAACCCAAGTCTACGGAGCCCCAAGTGGCTCTTTCATCCCTTTGTTGTGGTTTCCAGTGGCTCTGGAAAATAACCGTGCCCTTGACACCAGGGCATCGTAGGCCACAGTTCGACGATCGACTTTGTGGTCGTTTCATCGTACTTGTGACTGCATGATTTAAGATAAGATAACCTTTATTTGTTCCACACTGGGGAAATTTGCAGTCTACAGCAGCAAAATTGGGGGGAGGGGGGTGGGGGAGAAAAAAAAACAAGTGTTTCATTGCACAACTTGGTCACTTGGATGACGAATATGGCAGAGCTGCTAACCAATCACCACCTGGTGGTGTGTTGGCTCGGATGCTTAGGGAATATGTTTGTCCAACTTGCCTTTAATAAGCTTTGTGTGCCTTCTTTTGAAGATGTGTCCTTGACGTTTTTAGAGGATGTGGCTTGCCAGACTATGCCATCTGGCTCCCCTTGTGACTCTCTTCCTCTGCATTTCTTTAAGGAGGTCTTAAGGAGGTTTTAAGGAGGTTCTCCCGAGTATTGGTAAATGGGTCTTGGCCATTATCAACAACAGTCTGTCTTCTGTTATAGTTCCCTAACAGTTTAGACATGCTGTGGTGCAACCCTTGCTCAAGAACCCTGGCCTTGATCAAGATGTACTGTCAACTTTTTGGCCAATTTCCAAGCTGCCTTCCATTTCAAAAATTCTTGAAAAAACGGTACACATGCATTTAAAATCATATCTTGGATGAACATAACATCTTGGAGGTCTTCCAGTCAGGTTTCAAGATGATACATATAGCACAGAGTCAGCCAGTTTACGAGTTTTTAATGACATCCTCCTGGCCAATTACACTGGAGACAATGTGTGTCTGGGTTTTATTTGATTTCAGTGCAGCTTTTGATATACTGGATCATAGTATTCTGTGGGCTTCTTTGCAGCACCTGGTGGGCATTGGCAGTCACGCCCTTGAGTGGTTAAGGTCCTATTTAGCTGACAGAACCTTTTGTGTTAGCCTTGGTTGGTCTGCCCCACTGTCGTGTGGTGTTCCACAGGGCTCAATTCTGCCTCTGTTGTTCTCACTGTATCTGCTCACTTTGGGTTCCATCTTAAGGAAATATGGTGTTTCCTTTCACTATTGTGCGATCTATATCCCGCTGAGAGAAAAAGACACTTTCTCGTTGAGGCCACTTTAATCCTGTTTAGAGGAAATCAAGACCTGGATTGCACTAAATTTCTTGAATTTCAATGAAAAGAAGATAGAAGTGATGGTGTTTGGGCCCAGTTGCCCTTGTACATCCCATCCTGCGGACATGGGCCACTTGGCTTCTGATCTTAAGCCAACAGTCTCAAAATTGGCTCTTAAACTAGACAGTGATTTTAAATTGGACCGGCAAATTGGTGCAGTTGTTAAGTCCTGCTTCTATTATCTTAGGCAGCTGGCTAAAGTAAAGCCTCTACTTTCTCAAGAGCACCTTGAGACAGTAATTCACGCCTTCGTCACATCCCGGCTCGATTACTGCAATGCACTTTACTTTGGAGTCAGCCAATCCTTCATTAACCATCTCCAGTTGGTCAAGAATGGTACTGGTAAGAGGGAGCACATAACTCTGACTCTGGCATCCCTTCACTGGCTCCCTGTACATTGTAGAGTTCTTTTTAAGATTCTATGATTTGTTTTCAAATCTTTAAATGGCATCGCCCCAACTTACTTCTCTGAGCTCCTCCGCCCCTATGCACCTGCTCAGTGGCTCAGGTCTGCGGACCACACACTATTAGAGGTATCGAGGACTGAGCAGAGGCTCAGAGGAGATGGAGCCTTTTCCGTTGCTGGTCGCTCTCTTTGGAATAACCTCACATTGAATGTCCGGCAAGGCGGCCCGGTAGTCCAGTGGTTAGCACGTCGACTTCACAGTGCAGAGGTACCGGCTTCAATTCCAGCTCCGGCCTCCCTGTGTGGAGTTTGCATGTTCTCCCCGGGCCTGCGTGGGTTTTCTCCGGATACTCCGGTTTCCTCCCACATTCCAAAAACATGCATGGTAGGCTGATTGAACACTCTAAGTTGTCCCTAGGTGTGAATGTGAGCGTGGATGGTTGTTCGTCTCTGTGTGCCCTGCGATTGGCTGGCAACCGATTCAGGGTGTCCCCTGCCTACTGCCCGGAGACAGCTGGGATAGGCTCCAGCACCCCCCGCGACCCTAGTGAGGATCATGCGGTTCGGAAGATGAATGAATGAATGAATGAATGTCCGGCAAGCCCCCCTCACTGCCCATCTTTAAAACTCATCTCAAAAACTCATTTATATTCTTTGGCTTTCAACTCAGCATGAGACTTGATTTTTAGTTTGACTGTTTTTATGTTTTCTACTGTCTTTGTCATTAATTTATTGTTTGTTGTTGAATGAATTATTTTTTGCACCATGTACAGCAGCCTTGTATACAGTGGTGGGTGTTTTAAAGTTCTCTATAAATATAGTTGAGTTGAATTGAGTCTGCTAGGAACCTCTGTCAGAGTCCGCCTGTCAGGAGTTTCAACTCATATGTCCAGCAGAATCTTCGCTCAGATCCCGGGGGGATGGGGGAGGGGGGGAGGGGACATTCAGGTGGACCATGCTCCACAGCTCCATTGTTTAGGCAACCAACCGGAGGTGTGGCCATGAGGTGGTCAGAGCCGGTAGTGGCGTTAACCTCCGATTCTGCTGGTGGACACTCGTGGTGAGGGATAGCGCTAAGTTGAAGGAGGAGCCCTAATGGTCTTTTTGGCCTGTGGGAAGAGGGAGGCACGAAACAGGTGCCGGCTAGGCTAGTGGAACACAGCTCTGGTGGTCACAAAGGCAAAAACTCAAGCATGGGAGGAGTTTGGTGAGGCTACAGAGTAAGACTTCCGGACTTCGAAGACTTCATTTCCACCATGTCTTCCCAAGAGGAAGCAGAGTCTGGGGGTCTCTTCGGCAAGCTCTCCTATGTCTGTGGTTGAAGTCACCACGGTGGTTAAAAAGTTTGGTGGTAGGGCCCAGCAGGTGGATGAGTGAGATCCACCTAGAGTTCCTAAAGGTTCTGTATTTGTGGATACCATGATTGATTCAGATCTGCAAAATTGTGAGGACATCAAGAATAGTTTTTCTGGATCGGTGGACCGTTGTGGTAGTCGCCCTTTTGAAGAGGGGGGACCGGAAGGTCTGTTCCAAATACAGGCACATCACAGTCCATCAGAAAGTGGAATCTCAGACTCAGAAGGAGGAGTACGATTTTCATCTTGGCTGTAGAACAGTTGACCAACTCCATACCCTCAGCATGGTGCTCAAGGGCGCAGAGGGTGCTCGTGGGTGAATGGGAGTCAGCCCAGCAAGTCGACATGTGCTTTGTGGACTTGGATTACAGTGTACCGGATGCCTTATTTCAGGGTGTTCGGTCCCTGCGCAATCAGTTTCAGTTGCTGAGTTTGGTGTGTGTTGCCAGGTGCAAGTCTGATTTGTTTCCACTGAGGCTTAGACTCTGCCAAGACTGCCCTTTTACACTGATTTTATTCATAGATTTTATGGATAGAATTTCATGGTGCAGCCAAGGCATTGAGGGGTGTCCATTTTGGTGACATTTACATCTCTGCTTTTTTTCATATGATGTGGCTATGTTGGTTTGATCAGGATGCAATTTTTGAAGGAACTCAGTAAGAAAAGAGTGAAGTGTCCGCTCCAGGTTGGGGATGAGATCCTCCCCCAAACGGAGGAGTTGAAGCACATTGGAGTCTTGTGCACGAATGAGGGAAGAATGCAGCAGGAGATCGACAACCAGTTCTGCGCAGCGTCTATAGTAATGTGGACTCTGTATCGGTCTGGTGTGGTGAGGGTGGATCTGAGCAAAAAAAATCGCTGCTCTCAATTTACCAGTCAATCTACGTTCCTACCCTCACCTGTGGTCACGAGCTGTAAATCATGATTGAAAGAACTATAAACCAGATATAATTGGTCAAACTGAATTTCCTCCTGGGCGTGCCTGCGATGTCCCCAGGACGTTCCACCGGGAGACCGGCCTGACACAGGCCAGGACATATTGGAGAAACTGTCTCGTGGTTGGCTGTGGCAATGGCTCGGGACACACCTGGAAGAGCCGGGACCAAGTTGCATTGGCAAGGGAAGTCTGGGCTTCCCTATTAAACTGTGGCCACTTTGACCCGAGCGGAAGAAGAATTACTATCCATCATCAATTTTCTTCCTTATTTGGTTGTGGGGGCTGCAGCTTAAGCAGGAAAGCCCAAACTTCCCTCTCCCCAACCACTTTGTAAATCTCATCTGGAGCGCTGAAGGCATTCCGGGGCCAGCCAAGAGACTGGACTATAGTCTTCACCTGATGGGATGACGTATTAAGATCACAGCGCCCAACCAGTCCAACGCGGTCGACTGGCAGTCCATGGACTGGTCCCACGTCGACCGTGAAGGCAATAGAGTGGGAAATTTAAAAAAAAAAAAATTGTGTGTCTGCATGCAGGGCCTTTGATACAGAAGGGCAGCAGCTCTTCACTGAGCCCCAAACAGATGGCTGAGCTTCTCACTCTGTTTTTAAGAGAGAATGGAGGAAACAGAAGTGGTAACTCATTAAGCTGCTTGTATCTGTAATCTTTTGGTCATGACCCACAATTTGTGAACACCGGTGAAAGTAGGAACACAGATCAACAAGTAAAAGACTGTATCCCTGCAGAGGGTGCACCAATCCACCTGACAGTCCTGTGTCATTCTCTCACACGTGAACAAGACCCCAAACAGAACTCCTACTATTGGGTTAGGAGATTACCTTCAACTTAAAAAGGGCACCCTTCCCGTTTTCAAGTGAAGACTATTTCTTCCAACTTGGAGTTGCTAATTCATATCCCAAGTGGTTCACTTGACTGTGAACCACTTCAGCGAGAGTTTAAGATCACGGATTGATGAAGCTAACATAGATAGCCACATCACTTTCCCACTATACACCACGATGGAACAGGACTGCCTCTAAGCTGTCTAAGCCGTTTTCATTTGTCAAAATGCTTCTGAAGTATGTGGTCCACTTGGACCTAATCCATTGCTTCCCATGGAGCATGCCCAAACTTGTCAAGAGTGGGTCACACTTGCAGCTCAACTTAATACATTGATGTAAATGGTTGTGAAGTGACAACGTAGGGAAGTTCAAGGAGAATAAATGCAATCCATTGTGGGTGTTAACTTCCAGCCCACCACGGCAAAAAGGGACTGTGAACCAGTAACCCGTGATAGAATACAATGCAATACCTTATAAAGCCATTGTAGACAGAGAAAAGTTAGCAAACCTTTGGGTCAACAATATTAACAACGACATCTTGGTATGCACGCAGTCTGAAGGCTTGTGCCACAGCCTGATCCACACTGATTGTCTCTAAGAAAGAATGGAGAAAAATGGAATTCAATGAATTTGCAAGTTAAGATTTTGTTATATTGCTGTTGATGCAATAGGGTTTAGATACATGTACATATTTCTTGGTACCCTTCAGATGCTGCTTTTGTCTTTGTTTTTTGTTTTTTTGTTGTTTTTTTTTTTCCGCCCCCTCCGTGAGCCGTCACCTTACCGTAGTGGAGGGGTTTGTGTGTCCCAATGACGTGCTCTCCAACTCTCACTGGAGCGTTTCGCAGCCGAGTGTGAAGCGGTTGGGATGAAAATCAGCACCTCCAAATCTGAAACAATGGTCCTCAATCGGAAAAGGGTGGAGTGCCCTCTTCGGGTCGGGGAGGAGATCTTGCCCCAAGTGGAGGAGTTTAAGTATCTTGGGGTCTTGTTCACGAATGAGGACAGGAGCGAGAGATCGACAGGCGGATCGGTGCAGCATCTGCTGTGATGCGGACTTTGTATCGGTCTGTCATGGTAAAGAAGGAGCTGAGCCAAAGGGCGAAGCTCTCAATTTACCGGTCGATCTACGTCCCAACCCTCATCTATGGTCACGAGCTATGGGTCGTGACCGAAAGAAACGAGATCCCGGATACAAGCGGCTAAAATGAGTTTTCTCCGCAGGATATCCGGGCTCTCCCTTAGAGATAAGGTGAGAAGCTCGGTCATCCGGGAGGGGCTCAGAGTAGAGCCGCTTCTCCTCCACATCGAGAGGAGCCAGATGAGGTGGCTCGGGCATCTGATTAGGTAGGATGCCTCCCTGGACGCCTCCCTGGTGAGGTGTTCTGGGCATGTCCCACCGGCAGGAGGCCCCGGGGATGACCCAGGACACGCTGGAGAGACTATGTCCCCCAGATGGCCTGGGAATGCCTCGGGATCCCCCAGGAAGTAGTGGCTGGGGAGAGGGAAGTCCGGCCTTCCCTGCTCAAGCTACTGCCCCCGCGACCCAACCCCAGATAAGCGATAGAAAATGGATGGATGGATGGATGGATGGTAGCACCTATTTTTTTGTTTTTGTTTTTTAGGGGGGGAAGTCCAATACAGTGATACCTCTATTTTCGAACGTCTCTTCATACTAAATTTTCAAGTTACGACAGGAAAATATTGCCTCTTGTTCGGAAAGAAATTTCGAGATACAAAAGGTAAATATAAGGTATGGGCTGCTACTCGCAGCTCCGAGTTTCCTGAACGCAACATACTTATACTGTAGCTGCTCTGCCATTGGCTATTACCTAGCATCTTCTTGGCATCCCGTTGGCTAAGAGGGACCTCTACCGAATGTGTCTATTGGTGTAGATACATAAATCAGAGATGAAAGTGGACTTTCCTGAAAATTCCGGAAAAAATAAAAAATATATACTGTGTGTGTGTGTGTGTGTGTGTATGTATATACAGTAATATATATATATATA